CAGAAAGCATTTAATATTTGGTTTATTATATATAGGGACTCCAAGGTGGTATCTTTTATTTTTTTATAGTCTCTAGTTGATTCATTTTTCATAGGTCCGTATATTTTTTTTAGCATTTTTCTCTCAAAGATAAGAAGCTTCTGTTCGTCTTCTTGAGCTGTCTACTACGTCTCATAAACATTATGCCACTATTGGGTGTAAGTAAGTTAAGTACATTTTGGCCATGATATAAAACTTTATACCGAAAACATTCTTCAGTCGGTTTCCCAACTATAATTTAATACTTGTTTATAATTTATATCAAACAAAGTTTATCTGCTTTTGTCAATATATGAGCTATTCGAATATAAATAATCTTAACTTGGTTTTACACATAACTTTCAATAAACTTTATGAGAGAATGAAATATATTTTTTTCAACTCTTATAACATTTAAAAAATTTAAAAACTGTTTATCGTAGATTGCTGGTTGATCATGTTCGCCTTTTTGAAATGATTTGTATATTATATTACGGCCCGTAATGGCTCTAGAGTCTGGCCATGTTGACCTGGCAGCCAGTCCATGTAGTATTAACAGCCGGTCCAAAGCTACTTTAAAATATAGGGTTGGGCTAATGCATACTTCTATCTCTCCCCCAAATGACGCCCCTAAAGAGGTGATATGAACTTTAAACAAATATTTAAATTATTATTTATTAAAAATTAAACTGATAAAAAACACACGGTGTGTATAATAGCTAGATATTATAGCAGTATAGGTAAACGGATAAAAGTCGGTGTTGTGTGAAGTGAACGCATGAAATAACTGATATATAGGTACGTCTAATGTGAAATAAATTACACATTTTTTAAACGTAGTTATTGCACTAACGATGGAATATCAAAATAATAATAGTAAAACGTTGCACGCTATGTTAAATTATTGTTAATTAGGTACAATCGAATAACTCGTCTATTCCGCGAATACATGTATTATGGGTTTTATTTTTTAATTCCGAAATTAATGCAGCAAAATGTAATTCTTCTTTATAACGGTGTTTTCACCCTGTAAATGGACTATGTTTAAATTGATTAATTTAATTAGTAAGCGCCATAAAAAAAAGTATTTGGCTGCTACAGATGGCTGCTGCTAACTATAATAGGTGAATTTGTAGGTTGGTATTTGGGAAGCTATGGTACATAAATTTGTTTAGTTTATACATCTATAAGTAACAATGAACCATTGCAAATGAAGTACGATCCTGAGCGAAGTTCCGCAGTTATACATGTTTTGAAATGCTATTATTTTTACGATTTTCGTTAAAGTTTGATTTTTAAACTCTTATAAAAAAAATTACTGCATTGCCTAAGCTCAATTTTGTTTTTTTTTTCTACCATTAACACAACGTAAAACAAACTATTATAGTACAACTAATAATACATTTCTTGCTCTGGTCACAATCTAAAAGAATCAACCTATTTCACACAGAATACAAAATAGTATTATATGCGTTATTGATGGTAAACAATAAATAATATTGTTTTCTCGGATAGTATGTATACGAGTATACTATCTTAGAGTGTGTTCGTGAAGGTTTTTAGCTGTAGGCATACTTAAAATAAATGATCGAATTACACGACTGATAACTTTTTAATAGCCAATAACCAAATCACTGAACCGGTAATAAACGTATTGTACACGAAGTGCTTGTTTTTATTTTTTGGCATTGCAAACAATTCATTTCAAACAGGTGTGTGTGTGTGTGTGTGTGTGGATGCATTATTACGCGTTCCTATTCCTAAATGATGTGTCCAGTTGATGGCTTTTCGAAGAATCCATTCAGTCGTCACATTATTATACCAAATTGTGGTGCTCGTATGGCCCTAACAATAATACTGTATTTTCGGAGGAGACTGTATATTATAATAACACGAGTATTTGGTAAGCACCGACAATAACGATATATGGACATATGGCAGCAAAGAATCATACCGTCCTAATGCTCATTATTATTTTAATGCAAATTTTAAATTAATTTGATAAAAAAAATTAATAACAGCTGACCTGTTCCCTCGACTCCGGGAATTTCGTGGATGAACATATCTGACGTCAGAAAAGTTTTAAATTCTGAACGAAGCTAGGAATGTGATAGTTTTACTAACATTAATTTTTAATTTATTTATAGTCTATGAACCACTTTTTGACTAGAAATCTTTCTGTAATTGTTAATCTCAGGAATGATCTCGAGTCGGGTATTTAGTGCATTGAAGAGATCATTTTTTGATTTTCTTGGCATTTTGAATTCAATTGAAACTTTATAAAGATTTTCTTTATAATATAAAAACATTAAACATTTCATATCGGAAGATTAGAATAAGACGGTCATCTAATGTAAATCTGCGAGTGTGGGCAGTGGCGTGGTGAGCGAAATTTGATTTGTGGACAAATTGAATTATTCGCTATTTAGTACCCATTCCCAAAACTACATCTAATCAAATAGTCCACTGATCCGTGAAAAGCTTACTCTATTTTAATAAATTTTGAATAAATCCCAGTTATAATGTTATCATATTTTGTAAAAAGTAAATTACAATAAAAACGTTTTCTAAATTGCTCAGTACGTACTTTATTGGTTCTATAAACAATTGTCTTCATCTAATTTTCAAACTGGATTGATTATTGATACTAAACAATATCAATTACATTGCCTTTCATGATCGTGCGTTTCAAACCATATTTGTTGGTCTTTTGTCGACCGCGATCATCATAACCGCATACTTTCAGAAAAAAATCGTCATTCAATTCCGCACACTTTTTTTTATTTATACCAGCATACCGCATATTTAACATCAGTTAATACCGTATACATTTTGTCTATTGTTAATCAATCACTGGTTCGTCACTTAATTGTTTATATTAAGTTGTGTGTGGGGGGGGGGTAAATATATTCAAAAACTCAAAATATTATTATTAAGTTGATACTATCAATTGCCTATTTATTAGATAATTTCACTCAATTTTTTAATAATTAAGATATTGTTATTATGTAGTTATATTAATTCAAATATTGCTACTTATAAGTGATTATATAACTAATATAAAAATATAATCTATATAAATATAACTTATATAACTAAAAGTCTAGGTAAATTTCACTAAATAAAAGTTCAAGTTTAAAATTTCATTTAACAATTTTCGGAGTAGTACACAATGTGGTACAATATTTATTGTTATTGAACAAATAATCGTAATTAAAATTAAATTAAAAACAAAAATTGGCTTATATTTAGATTGGAATAAATTTGGTTCAAGAGTTTTAGATTCTGACTGGAGCAAAGAAGCTTATGGTTTTAGAAAAATATTTTTTTTTTTTTATCTGTGCGCAACTTTTTTATCAGAAATCTTCCTCCGATTTTTAAGTATAGCACTTTTTCTGAAAGGAACTTTGACTAAGAAGGTACTTTGAAGAGGTTATTTTTCGATTTTCTCGGGAGTTTTCTGAATAAATCTGAAAAACCGGAGGAAAAACGGGAAAATGTTCTAGATGTAGATATTAATTTAAATAAAAATAATACGGTCTTTTTTTACGTTTATATAATTATATAACACCGTGTTTTAATTATTACAAAATAATATGTCGTCGTTGCATTATGTAGGTACTGCAAGTGGGCGATTTGCGCAGATATTTTGTCATCTCCATTGTTTTTGCGATGGTCGATTGCAACGCACAAATGATGCTCCACTACTCCCCTTACCCATACTTAAAAATGGATAATATTGCTAACGGGCCAGCAGTTCAAAATCAAGGTAGTTTTTTTTTTTTTTGTGAGTGTATCGCGGTGCTACTAGGGGGTATTTCGCCCTCGCATGCAGTCCTTCCCCTGAAGAATCAAGATAATTCCAGACATGCTTGATAATTTAACAGGAGGTTCATTACTGTAAGTTATATTTAGTAGTAAATAGAAAAAAAATTGAGTTTAATGTAATAATTTTTTTTTATGTATATAAGTATTTGAATACTAAATTTTGACGAAAAGTTGAAGATATTACTGCCTTTTAAAACGTGTACATATAACCTAACTCTTCTCAAATTCGTTTTTTTTTTTTTAACAATGATTAATCGTTGCATACAGGTATACATTAAATTCCCCTCTGTATCCCATCTTCTTATTTCTGACCTATGGCAGTGAGCCACATATTGTGTGAAGTATGACTGTCTTTTTATAGTACTCAATCTAAAAACGCCAAAAAGATCTAATCTTAGACGTTCTTCAAAATGATGAATTTATATAATTTAATTCAAACTAAATGGGCTAAAAAAAGAGAATCTTGCTTCTTAATATAGTCCTCGTATTGATTATGTGAATGATAATTTAGTAAATTTGGATTTGATGTCTAACGAGTGTCAACTTTGTTTACAAAGAAGCATTGAGTTGAATTTGCACAAATAATTCTACCAGTTTTTATTATTATAAATTATAATTATCGAATGTCTTTGGCTAATTTTATATTTATTATAAGGAGTTTAATTTATTTAATTTTATTTCAACATTATTACGCAAGTAATAAAAATGAAATTGTATCGAAATAAACGTAATAATTGCATACGTTTAATAAAACATGTGTATATTGATGTAAAATATTTCCGTAAATACAATTATTTAGGTTAAATAAATAGTACAATTTGGTTCAAAATTGAACACGAGAGAAGCCGAGTTATTCGTCTTGTTAGAAATGAAATCATTAGTTTAATATTGCATATAAGACAAAAAATATGAACTATGAGTAATATTATTTAAAAATATCATCTACTCACAAAGATATAATTTGTGTCGATTATTTGAAACGGTTTTATAATAGTTGTACAATATAGAAATACAATTGTGAACTTTTATCGTTTATTCATTTAAACAAATAAGTAACATAGGTATTTAAAAAAAAAAAAAAAAAACAAATTCCTTCAATGAGGCAAAAGATAATATAATTTAAAAAAAAAAACCATAGTTTTTTGGGTCGAACCCCATCAATGAGCCTATGTAAAACTATTCATCGCTATCATCGTCACTCGAAATGTATATGGGCTCATCAAAATGTTGTGATCCATACGTGGGGTGTATGCCATTATAGAATTGTGATGGGGTAGGGCTACACCTATAAGTGAACAAACGAATTATTATTTGATTTCATACTTAATTATGGTACAAAATATTAACTAAATTTTCAAAACTATAAGTATTATTGTACATTTGATGAAGTCTAGATTTGTCTACACCGGGTTTTTTTTTTTAAATTTTCTAACATTATTAATTATGACACTATAAAAATATACTTACGACGTTGACGCCGGACTCAACGCACGTGATAGTTCATGAGAAAAAATACTTATCGTTTTAGCATCGTCGTCGACGTCATTTTCCGAATCACTGAGAATAATAAATTATTAATTTTTGTTTACAGTATTTTTAAAAATATTGAACATTTTTAGTTACTATCAAAGATACTTACGACGATGATGACGAACCGGATGAACGTGACATCACACTATCCGTTTCATCATCGGAGTCGCCACTCGTCAAATCGCTTGATATGAGTATCGGTTCGGAGTCCGAACGTTGTGTACTCGCGTCCGACGGCGACGCATTGGGGTTGTACCTGTGCGAATAATCGTGTTATTTAATTCGATGGTTATTATAAAAAATATTTAACCAACTGCGAATAATAATATTATTAATTTTTTTTTTATAGTAGGTATGTTTAATAATATTAAACACTATTAGTTACCATAATATCAAAGATACTCACGGCGATGATGACGAACCGGACGAACGTGACGTCACACCATCTGTTTCATCATCGGAGTCACCACTCGTCGAATCGCTTGATATGAGTACCTGTTCGGAGTCCGAATGTCGTGTACTCGCGTCCGACGGCGACGCATTGGGGTTGTACCTGTGCGAATAATCGTATTATTTAATTCGAAACTTATAAAGCACTATCAAAGATACATACGAAGATGATGCCGGGTTGTAGGACACATGCGTAAGACTGCGCGTAGAAGATACTACTAATCCTGCAAATTTTAGAAAACGCATTACAAACTTGCAGGACGTAGTTTTAAATAGTCAATTTTGCAACCCGATTTCGAAAATATTGCTATGCCCACCCGTATAATTATTTGGTACTAAGAACCCAAACAAGTTTAATATCGACTGATGCTCTAAATTGTTTGCAATTGTTAATTCAAAAATTACAAAAATGCAATTTCTAATGTATACATACTTATGAAAATAGTATTTAGTAACACTGCGATCGTTGTGTACAGTAATGAGCGAAAATAATATTGTAATAAAGAATCACAAACGCTTACGCGGTTGTTCTTCCCCGCATTTCTGAGAACTTCCTTTTTGTTTCTTTAAAACCTCGAAATCCGTTGGTGACGGCGATTTTCGTCTTTTTTTTCCGATTAAATGATTTACGTCAGTTATCTTTAACGGTTCAGGAGTATCGCTTTCAACACTGGTCGACGACTTTCCTACGATTGGTATTATATCCATATTTTATAAAAATCAAAAACACGTATGATAAATATTAACGAGTAATTTTGTGCAAAAAGAAATAATATTTTGTGAAATATTTTAGTTTGTTTATTCGGTACGTAGAAAAAATGTACTTTAACGACCGAATGTTCTCAAAAAAATAAACACCAACTGTTTTTTTCGACCTGCAACAGATAGTGCAATTTTTTGACTGCATTATACAACTATTTTTCTAATTCTGTTTATCAGATATTTGCTAACAAATAATGATATTTATACTGACAAAATAAATTAAATTTTAAAGTAGTAAATTTAACTAGTAAAATTGAGCGTAGCGATAAACGTTATTGGTTTTTCCTATTTTTTTTTGAATCTCAATTTCTTACCTACTTAAAATAATATTTTTATGAATCAAATAAAGTGGATGAGAAACCATTGTTTAAATTGTCTTTGAAAAATGTGAAAACGATTTTTACACAAACTCCACTACTCTTATTCTACCTAAACTTAAAAGTGGATGTGTGATGCGTCGTGAAACCGTTCAAATCGGATTTTTCCTTTTATATTAAAAAAAAAAAAAAAGGAAAAAAAACTGATACTGGGGAGGGGGTGGCTACTGTTGTAGGTGGGTATTGGAGAAAGTGAGATACATAAAGTCATTTAATTTATACCTGTAACCAACGATAAATCATTGATGATGAAATACGATTCGAGCCGGAGTTAACTCCAAAAAAAAAAGTACCCACTGTTAAAATTTGAATTTAGTGTCTGCACGGATTCAGTGCCAACGAATTGATGGTTCTGGATCCATGTGCAATCAAAATGTATTATCATTTGAACAAACAAAGTTTGTTAACTAGTATATTATCGAACCAATTGGAACTAAATTTTGAAATTAAACTGTAAAATACTTTGATATTGTAAAATATTTTATATAGTTTGAATTTATTTTAAAAGAAAATAATATTTAAAATTTAAATTTAAATTTAATAATAATTTGAATTCAAAAGTGAACGTGAACACGAACATCAACAGTGATAACACGAATGATACGATCGACCATAGACATAAACAATTTAGTTTTTTATGTTTCTAAGTCGATGTACCTTTCCCTCCCCTTTTTTTTTACATGTTTGAATCGGAATTAACGGGTGGCACTGACTTTCGTCATTCCTCCCAATCCCATCATTTATTTAACCAATAAAATTGGGGTTACATAATTCGTGGTGGGGTACATTACAGAAAGGCTCTTCCCTCTTAATATTTGCCTTCGGCTAACACTTTAATTGACTTAATTACGGTTGACGTTTGTCTAGTGTTTGTGCTCCCCATTCATCCTCTTCTTTCTTTGGTATATGTATACTTAGAAGCACTCGTGATTCGATAATACTTGTGTAAGTCTTTAATTTGCTTGATCAAAACTTCTGTTACCTCCTCTTTGCTGATTTGGAGGCTTCTACGTTAGGCGTTATCTTTGCTAGGTTTTGTACAGTCTTGCTCGCTTTTGCTGCCGCTATTATTGTGTGTTCCTTGAATTGCATCTTGGAGTTTATCTGCAGACTCAAGTACTTAATACTCCGACTTGATTTGTCATAGATTATAATAAATAGTCTATTGACATGTCTTAAAAGCCGGGGGCGCATCACCTGACGGGGGCTGGACCGTAAGCAGACGACGAGGCGAATTGAGTAGTGGAGCTGGGGCCATGCTTTGATGCTCTGAGTGCACCCGGAGCTTACCCTGCCTCCCCGTCCGATTCTTAAATAGCACTTAGTGCTGATATAAGGTTCAGAGTAGGTATTTTGAAATTAGAGGCCCTCTGTTCCCGCTACACGTCCCTGCAAGACACCTAGAGTAAAATGATCTCCAATTAAACATAATTAGTTTGAAATCGACAACAAGAAGCTCACGATGAATTTAGACCTTCTCCTAAAAGGACATTTTCTTGGGTATTTTAGAGGATCATTTTTTGATTATCCCAGGACTTATCTCATCAAATTTGTAAAACTGCAAAACAAACGGAAGAAAACCGGGTATATATAGTTCACTGGTAAAACACCCGTGAATTCAGATAAATCAGAAGGAATTCAGAAAAAAAATAAACCTATGGCCGTTGTTCCAAATCCGTGGTCACGTTACATGGAACTTATTGCCATAAGTGTCAATCTAAAATCCAATCGAAAACAAGGCAAGAGACACGTTTGGTGGAATCGTATGACTTGTGTCGTGTATAGTGAAAACGTTATAATACATGCGGGTGTATTTTGTTCGTTTCTTAACGATCAAAGGTCAATTCGGCTACATTCGTATGATTTCATACTACGGGTGCCACGACAACGACGCCCGTGGAGACGGATCGCGGGCTCCGACCGTCTCGGGATTAGGTATTATAGGGCGGGAGAACAATAATCGCAATGAAAATAAAAAAAAAAGACGTTCTAGGATAATACAGATGGGTGCAGCCACTGTCATAGATAATTTAATGTATATCTGTAAGCAACAGTAAACTATTGCTCACGAAAAAACGATTCTGAGTGGAGTTCAGTTGATAGTGATGCTTTGTCAAAAAATATATGTATGTCATTTTATAGTAAAATAATTAAAAAAGTTTTCATATGTTTTCTTTAATAGTATTTGTTTCATGTTTCGATTTTCCCAATTTTCCTACGTTTTTCCCGGTTTTCCCATGTTTTATCTCGGTTTTTCACATTTGCTGGGAAAACTTAAAAAAATCGAAAAATGACATCTGTATAGTACCTCGCTAGTGAAATTGCCTTTAAGAAACATTAGTATAATTAAAAGTTGAGCTAAAGTGCTGGTAGAAAAATTGTCTACAGGAAAAAAAAATCGTATATTTTGTAAATTTTCACGTTTTTTTTTTCGGTTTTTCGCATTTGATGAACAAATTCTTGAGAAAATGACATTCTCAATGTACCCACCCCCCACGCTGAAAAGGTGCTACACGTAGAAATCCGAGTGAGTCTTCTGGTAGAAAAGTTGCGCGCAGATAAAAAAAAAAAAAAAAACATAAATTTATAAGCTTCTTCGCTCCACTCAGAATCTAAAAAACCTAACCCGTTGCGATTACTAAAAAAAAAAAAAAAAAAAAAAACAAAAAAAAAATACCACGTTCCCGTTTAATACTCTCGCGGTACTCTACTATTATTTCCGCCGCCTCGCCGATTACGATCGTCTCTAATACCGGCGATATTATTATATGTATTAGAGACGGCCGACGACGCCGGCTGACCCGACGGCGGTAACGTTAGGCGTGCATAATAACGCGATTACCGCGCGTGAAAAATCGGCCGGAATTATTACCGCCGACACCAGTGACGTACGCAGGGGAGGGGCCTAAGGGGCTGAACCTACCCCCACCGTTAACCCGTATTCGACGCATTTTTATATTTTTCAAGTTTAAACTGCAACAATAGTATTAGTAAGTAAGGACTTTTTTTCGTAAGTAAACAATACAATTATTGCCACCGCTGTCTATTAATAATAATCTTGCCGTATTATTACTGTATCGTCAGAGAATAAGATATAATTAAGTTGAGAAGACTATTATTTTTGTCTAATTGCGGTGGCACTATTGTTATAAACAATGGTTTTGTTATTATGTGTTTGGCGAATGGTGTTATCGTGCATACGCGGGCTGGTCACACAACCGATAATATCTACGATTGCAATATTGAACTCACTGAGCCGATGTTATAAAAAATCAACGCATCGTTAAGCTAGCCCATGGATATTGTGGATAATATTATAACATTATAGTAATAATATAACCTTTAATTATTGAAAAACAATTATGTAGATAATTTTGTTTTCATTATTTCTCTTGAGTGTCAAAGTAATTATATTTTGAATACTTAGGTTTTTCGTCATTATTTTCGTGTAAAACGTATCTAATAGTGTAGCACATTGAAATAATTATTTGATTGTTCACATTGTAGCAGAAAAAAGATCGAATTTGTTTTCGATTTTTAGTTTGAAGAAAAAAAACTGTGTGTATAATGTAATCCAAAATTCATTAAATTCTAATTTTGGTCGGTCCCTGGCTCCTTTAAGTCTTTAGTAGCTAGCTTAAACTTTAGTTACCTAAATATTAAAGTTTTTTTTTTTCATTTTGTTCATATTTTGTGTTTTTATTATCAGTCAGAACTAAAAACGCACCTATTATACTGACCTACTTTATTATTCAAACTTGGGACAAAACAACTGATTAATTATCAATTTTCAAGCCCCTTCCCCACTCCATTGAAAACTCCCTCGTAGCCGCTGGCCGACAACGTCAAAAACGGAAAAACCCAACGTTTCGGTATAATATTGTCATTATTTTAAATGCGTACGCCTCTAATCGATTACGATGAGTTATTATTATTATTATTAAGTACTATTTTAACGTGGGTTTAGGCTACGACGACGACGGCGCACAGTAGTTTAAAATTGAAAAAAAGGTGGCCAAAAGTAATTTTTGAAATTTTCAACAAATTGTAAATTATTGTATAAAAATACTTTCTATGCCCATATAGGTATTCAAAAATGCCTAACTTAATCAAAAAAAGTTACTTTTTACTTTTTAAATTTATATTTGAAGAAAAAAACAATTTTTTTTTCTATAAAATATTTGTAACTTCGATAATACTTTAAGTTTTTGTACACTATGATATACTATATAAATACAATTATTATCATCGGGGGTTTTTTTTTTATCAGTATAGAGACTATTAGAGTATTTATCATCATTATTATAGAAACAATATATCTGCACTATTAATAATAATTGTAGTGATAACAAATTAATACTCGTTATAGCTTCCGTTATATGTTTGATAACGTACAGTTTCTTTCACCGATCTTCACGCCAGTTTATATATATTTCAAACATCTATAACGTGTATAGAGTCGGTAAATGTTTAGATTAGTGGCTCATATTTGCCCGTTGGAAAATTGTAATATCATGTTGAGTTTTGGCCCCCTTTTTTTTCAATTCTGAACCACCGTGCGTTGATGAATTATCACTAATATTACCGTTTGTGTGCCGCGGCCTGTGTACGGAACGCGTATGATGAAAACGTATACCTGATAATATTTCAACGCACTTCTGGCTACGGCGGGTAGCACACCCGTAATTAAATAAATACTTATTGTGTATGCATATTGTGTCGTCGTGGCGTCCAATTATATATATATATATATAAAAAAAAAAAAAAAATTTCCTTCTCCCGGACACTGTCGAAAGGAAGCTAAACTCCGTTTCGCCCACCGCCGCGCGCGATATAATTAATCTTCGTTTAAAGCCTTTAAACAGTGACTTGTATACCTAATAATAATAATAATAATAATCGTAATTACAGAGTTGCATTATATACCTATAATAATAATGATAATAATAATAATAATGCCTAATAATAATATTACGCGAACGGCGCGCACGTACTGCGCTCGATTTTATTCAACCACTATAAGGTACGCCGGCCATTATATTACACGTATCCACCGGTATTATTAACAAATTATATGGCCGGCGCTTTAATTTTTCGTTTTAGTATATCCGCGTGCACCTATCTATTATCCCGGCCACATTTTGTATAATGTTTTTTGTTTTTTTGTTTTTTTTTCATACTTTTTTCGTCAATTTATTTATAAATACACATCGACGTTTTCCTCACGCATTGTACCCGCAGTATAATAATACGTCATAATATTATTAGGTATTATACGCGTTGACCGGCGTTACCGGCGATAAAAATTGTACGTTTGAAATGGGTATAGAACACGGTTGCGTACGTTTGTAGCCGGGTTAAAATATACCTTTAAGAAACAAAAATAAACACGATCGCGTGTTGAAATTGTATGCAACGTTGTCAGATTTATTGATTTCACCATTTACCAAATAAATATCCATCACAGTTTAATAATAAATATAAAATAACAAAAAATAGGTAATGAATAAATAAATTTAAATTTGAATTCCCTGATATCTATAATCTTCGACTTTTAAATATTAGATTAAACGTTTATGGATTTTGTACTTATCATAAGCGTTTATATATATGTATATTTTTTTTTTTTTAATTTCCCTGGGGCTTTATTATTTAAACGACCTGATGGTCTTTATAAATATGTTTAACAGGATATATCTTACATACTAGATGATAATATATATACATTACACATTGATGAAGTCACACTTCCAATGAAGTGGCTCCTGTACTTAATTTAAACACTTAAACTAAGTCGTATGGTTTCAGANGCCATTGGGTTGATATGGTCCTCTAATCTCCTCTCGTGTTTACGAGCAAACTTTTGGATTTCTTCTGCTATTGTAGGCAGCATCATATCGCGGTGAATGGTATCGTTTCTTTCAAACCGGTAGGCTGCAGTGATAGTCCGAAGAGCGATGTTTTGGCAACGTTGTATTATATCAATGTTAGACTTACTAGTACAACCCCACAGTTGAATGCCATAGGTCCAAATTGGTTTTATAATAGCTACATATAGTATACGTTTGTTTTCTATAGTTAACTCAAAGTGGGGTCCAACTAACCAATAGAGCTTTCGCATTTTTTCTTTAATTTGTATTTTTTTCTGACGGACATGATGTTTCCAGTTTAAACGAGAGTTAAGATGCATTCCAAGATATTTTGCTGAATCTTTTTGTGGGATTAAAGTTTGATTCAGCTTTAATAAGCGTTTACATTGTGTTGAGTTATATTTAAGTCTTTTTTTGTTCTCCCATTATTAATCGATTGTATAATCGATCTTCTCTGTATTTGAATTTATTTTAGTATTTGAATGGCAACATGTTTTGGAGGATGAGCCCTATGCAATCGTCCGTTATAAATACTATGAAAGCTTTCAGATCCATTTTTACTAGCACTAAAAATTAATAAATAAACGTAGGTAATTAAAGCTTAATGGTTATAGAAGTGCGTAAAATTAAAAGTATTTATAAACTATTTTTAGTTCACTCGCGTAGTCGTGTGGTATATACTGGCATAAAAATTAGCAACAACGCTTAATTCTTCGTACGCAATCGTATAGCTTAAAAAGATATCACCGATAACGAACGTACACAATTGTGTTTTAGTGAATGTATTAATTACAGGTACTAACCGTATTCCGTTTCGACCATAGTCGTGTAAAAAAACGAACTGATAACTATGAGAGAGAGAGAGAGAGAGAGAGAGAGAGATAGATAGATAGATTGCGTTATAAAGATTATAAAGAAAAACAAAAATATTTGGTTATAATAACGCAGGCGCGTCATTTCAATATTTCAATAAGGCGATGCAAACATTAATTGAATCGGGCCCATTTTTCCTGAACATTTTCCGTTCGCTTCGCTCGCTTATATTTGTTTTACCAGCTTAACATTTTAATATTAAAATATTAAATTTCGTCGCATTGCAATAATATTGATACCTACTAAACTACGATAACGTGAGTTTTGACGCGCATTGTTATTTTGATGATATGCATAAAATAATTTAACAATTAACCGTGGTAAAATTCCCTATGTCTCATTCTCACATCACAGACAATCGGGTTCCGGTAGAGGCGGCCATTGACAGTGGCTCTTTTACATTTTATCAACAACGAACGGCCCAATTACAATATACTTTTATGCGGGCCAAAAAAAAAAAAAAAAAAAAAAAAAAATATTTAATAATCTAGGGCTGCCACAGTATTGTCTGAATGCATCAAATGACGCCTCAAATATAGGTACTAAATTGTATAGTGTAGATAGATTTTTTTGTAACATTTTATGTTTCTTGTTCGCGTTCCAACAGTACTTATTGCAATATAAATTGAGGCATACTATATTATGTTTTATATTTTATAGTAGTAACAGGTGACTATATTGACCACTTTACACTTAGTATATTTGAGGGGGTTAATTTCTCTGTTTCTACGTTTTGAGAGAGCTTAGCCACCCCAAGCTCGCCCCCTCCGATTTTCCGCATATACCCAGAAATTGGCTATGTCCAACCACAATAATGATGATGTTAAATGAAACGAAATTATTACCAAAACTACAACGGCACAAGATGAGCGATGCATCGTATTATAATACACTGTAGTATCTATAGAATTAGGCGTGGCTTGATCTAAAAAATTTAATTCATTGATCCGAATCATATCGATACAAATCCATCATTATACATTATTGTGGTAAATGAAAATAAATGTAATATTTTTTTTCCACCGAATGTATTTATCTTGTTTTTTTTTTTATTTTTTTTTTTTACGGGCCGTCGAAATAAATAGCACGTAATTTCTACCGAACACAATGAACAATACTCCATAATGTAACTAGGGTCATTATTTTTATTATTATTTTATTATTATTTTTTTTCACTACGAATTAAAGCATCCGAATAGTGTAAAACGATTATTTCCCCGCACTTATACACACCACATAAATTATTGACGTTTTTTCAATTGAACATAATACGACCGTACAGTAGTTACCTATATACAGGTATATATACAGGCAGGCAGGCAGGCAGGTACGCGTAGTGTTGTGGTAGAGGAAAAAACCGTTTTCTCCGCGAACCGCAAAATAATTGGTGTCGTTTGTGTTCTTTGACCTATAGAATGTAGGGGGAAAAAAAATTTCCATTATTTGAAAGCGCAGAACACAAATCAACTGTGTAAAAATATTTATATATATATATGTGCGTTGATAAAATATATACGTTTATTATTATTATTATTATTATTATTTGGTCGTTTTTTTCACGCCGCGGATGGCGTGCGGTAGTCGCGTATAAACACCGTGGCGAATTAACGCGAGCGCGAAAAATGAAAAAAAAAAAAAAGACAACAATAAATACTTTTGTAGTATTGTGATTTTTTTTTTCCTCCCTACCGTTCCTGTCCTCCGGCTATACAAATTGTTTTATTTTACGCGGTACGCGCGGTTTTTTTCTCTCCTCTCTCCCTCTCGGTCGACGGCGGCGCGGCGGCTGCGTCGGCAACGCGAGCGTTCTTCGCACGGTTTTGAGTTTTGACGCACGATCCGCGCTTTAGATCCGATTGTAATTGGCTCGTGCTGACTGGGCATTTTATACATATTATTATTATTATTATCATTATCATTATTATTATTATTATTATTATTATTATTATCGTTGCGATTGCGTACACGCGGGTATACACGCGGGTACACGCGGAACGCGGGCCGCAACAACAACAATTATTGTCAATAATAATATAATATTATAATGTTATTACACGCGTACGCGCGACTATTATTATTATTATTATTATTATTATTATTATTATTCGCTCGTCGAACCCATTATAATAACACCATTACGTACGCGCGTTATTATAATACGGTTATTATTGCGGCGGCGGCCGCCGCGAAGAATCCGCGTAAAAAAAAATAATATTATATTATTATCATCGTAAAAACGCGTCCGCGATTCGCGTCGAACCGTGAGCGCGCGCGCGTGCACGTAAACGCGTGTGCGCACATTATAATAACGCGTGTACATATTCTCGCCGTTCGTATTGTTATCAATGATAACGTCGCGGTTGTACGCGGAGCAGTATTAGCTCGCGTCCGTTATCGATCGACGTTTTCGCGACACGTCCCGTCCAGCCGGCACCGGCACGGTTACTTGTGCTACAACGCTGTTCGCTGTACCACGTTGTGGTGTTGCTATACGCAGCTGACGGCAGCGTTTCGTCAGGTGTTCGCGAGATTTCGCTCGGCCGTTTTCGGATTTTTGCCGGGGCCCCGGGTGAAGCGCAGTAACCGTTAGCGCAGCAGCGACACTGCGGTCGGTTGACCGGACGGTAAAAACGGCCCCTAAACTTCTGTAATCCACAAACGAACATGCCAGTTCTGTCTTCGTGGACGACGCACCGGCACATCGTCCCGAAAAAAAAAGACTGACATACTTCGCACCGACAGGTGTACAACTGTTGTAGGCGAGAAGTTTGGAAGGTATGGGGTAAATTCAATGTATATCTGTACGTAACGATTAACCGTTACTAACGAAAAACGACTCTGAACGGAGTCCGGTTAGCAATGTTGTTTTGTCAACATTATTTTACATGTAAAATTATGGTAAAATAATAGCATATACATTTTCATCAACAATATTTGTTTAATGTTTTACCTGTTTTCCCGTTTTCCGGGCACGTGGAAATGATTTTTTTTTTTTTTTTTTTTGGGGGGGGGGGTCCAAATATAAAATGTACCACCAACTACCAATACTCTAATTTTTTGGAAGGTCCAGACCCTATGGACCTCTCCTCCTCCCACTGGCTACGTACCTATCGATTTCAATTGATGCATTTTACTCTAGGTAGTTTGGGAAGAATTAGTATAAAAAAAAAGATACTTTTGAGGGCAACTGCTACATCTCCCTCTTTTCTAATACCTGCAGATTCGTAAAGTCCTTTAATTCTAACAGTTTTAAGCTATAAGCTTTATGTTATTTCATGAATCATGATAGTTACAGGCATTACAGCTGGCATCTAAAGTTTATCAAAAACAATTTTTCTTTTGATTTTTAAAAAATTATAAAACTCATGTTTTTAATATGTTATGTTATCATAATATATATGTAATGTGCAAATGTATTATAGTCGTTTTATACGATTATATTTGGTTTTCCGTAAAACAGTAGTAAATTTTCTCCACTTTTTAAGTTGTGTCTATTCAATTTTTTTAATAAATCATTGATATTTTAAATTATATTTGATAGCTGAATCTCGGCTAATTTGTGAGATAGAAAAATAAGGTATTAGTCAAAGGTGCTAGAAAAAGAAAATAGGATTATAAGGAATCTGGTGTTTCTAAATGTAAGTATTATTGCCCACGTGCGCACCATAGTGGTTAAAATTTTGAAAATAGGCTCAAAATATGTAGATATTTTGATACTACCGATCTTCCTGAAAACCTCTGTTTTAATAGAAATTCATCTGGCGTATTAGTGTTTAACTGAAACACACTGAATATGATAATATTATTGAACGAACCTATATTATTTATAATAGACGATTTTGTTTAGGTACCTAATGGAATTCCAACTTACTGTTTAAATGTATATTATCGTGTGTCGTGATTGTGATTGTGTATGTATGACGTTTCGACGCTTGTAACGGCAAACAGCGTTTGAATCCGATTATAATATTGTGAAGAATGTCATCGGGGCACGTGCAGATATTCGTGTTATTGTAGGTAGCTAAATCGTAATATTCTATTGTAATATTTTTCTATTATGTCACGTCATACATATGATACATAAATGTAATAAGAATAATTTATAAAATTATATTTGGGATTCTGAATGGAACTTGATAGCTATTAGTTCAATCAAGATCTGGGTTTTCTCAATTTTTTGGTTAGTGAAAATCTACTAAAACTTTCATACCTTGCAAGATTTTAAAATATGTGGATTTATTCCGGCCTATGGTATATTATTTGAAGAGACCTTTTTTTTTTATTCTTCCAACTGTTTTGCTAAATAATCGAATAAAACTGACAACAAAACACCGGTTTAGGACAAAATAATGTACCATGAAATTTCGAAACGGGATTTTTAAATTTGAGCTTTACATTTGGAATTGTGGATTTTTGTAATTCTTAATTACAAAAGTCAATTTTACTTTAATTAGACAAACCAGTTTATACTAACCAGTTCATCAAGTTCCATTAATAATCGTATTTTTTTGCAATGATTTATCGTTGTCTTCAGTAAGGTAGCGTTCAAAATAAAATAACTAGTTTTTCTCACGTAATGAATTTAAAACTCAAACATAATAATAAATAAGCTAGTATATTTAAAAACGCCACTAGGTGGCCTGGCTCTTTTGATGAATTAAAATCGATTACATTTTCTATACGTAAGATACAAAGATAAATGTTATTTTATAATCAACCTGAAATGTTTCCGTTATATATATGTGTTTTCTTTTTTCATAAATCGTTCAAAATATCGATGTGTATTGTGTGTATACCATCTGTGACTATGTTATTTATGGTTCATCGTTTTTGAGTCGGGGGCGTTTTTTAAAAGAATTCATCGGGTCGGACGCCTTTCCCTGTATAGTCTTTCAGTGTATGTATAGAAATAGAGCTATCATTTTTTTTTGCCATCATTCCACTAAACGCATTCGACAAATTAAATGTATATACCTAGTAATTTAATAGATTGGTTTATTGAATAAGCACAAATCATGGTACCTACGTTTATATAATCGATAATCGATTTTCCAGTTCGACGCTTTGAACATTGAGAAAAACGGACGATGAACAGAAATAAAGAGTAATTTATTAAGCTATATACGGCGTCATAGGATTGTTTTTCTAATACGAGTTGTGTACGGAAAGTCATTAGTTACATTAGTTGTAATACAGTCAAGTGTATGGCCATAAGTAGACAGTATGCACTTACGCAAAATATCACCGTTGGGAAATAAACATTTGAGCAAGTGAGATACCTTTAAGTATACTGAGATGTCAATAGGAATAACAAAAATGTCATATATCATGTACATCACGATTAGTGAAATTTAATTACTAAAGGGAGGCTCACACATGATTTTTGTTATCATAATAAATTATAATACGAATATTACATTTTAGATTCTGAGCAGAGCGAGGAATTTATTGGTTTTACAAAGATTTTTATTTTTTTTTATTTTTTTTTTTGTGTTGGCAATTTTTTTGCCAGTTATTTTGCTTTGATTTTCTAACCGGGGTGGTACTTTAAGGTATTTAAGGTTTTGATATTCTCTGGGGTTTTTTTAATAAATGGAAAACCGAGAAAAACCGTAGGAAAAACGAGGAAATGTACGAAATGTAGGTATTATTTTCAAATCGTAAATATTACGGCCTTTTAAAACATGTATCAATATAACTGAACTTCACTCAGAGTCGTTTTTCGTTAGCAAAGATTAATCGTTGCGTACAGATACACATTAAATTCTCCTCTATATCCTACCTTCTTAACTTCTCACTTAGAACAGTGACCCACCCATTGTGCAAATAAGTATGTCCGTATCTTTTTTCTTTTTATATTTCTGAGGAATCTATGTCATTTCGATGCAGTAATTTTGACGTGCGTCAAATGGACGCGAGACAATTGGGCGCCTGGCACATTTTGATGCAACTACATTTCGAGGCATTTTTTTTTTTTTTTTTTTTACAGTATACCATAGTCCAAACGTTGTACATTGTACATGTATATTATATTATATTAAATACAATAGATATTTTTTATAGCATTTGATCACGAATATACAATATCTACCTAATAATATAGATTATTACGAATTAATGCAAAAGTGGTCAAATATAACTTTTCCCGGGTAGAGTGCCTTGATAGAGAGGCATCTCTATCAAGGCATTCTATTTCCCATAATAAGAAACGTAATTTCAAAAAATTATGAAAAAAAGTCGGTTATTTTATGCAGGGAATTAAACAACTAAAAATCGATAAAAGTAACTTTATTTAGAAATCATATTCTGAAATTGGTAATGGACACTCAATACTCACTATATTGTTGAGCTATATTTTTAATAGAGTTAAATAATTACATAACGGATAATAAAATTTTATACCCATCGCCATTTTTAAATTACTAAGCAAAACAAATGAAGGAACTCTATAATTTCGTGTGACATAGTATTGATAACATAACTATATGAACTACATGGTAGGTGGCTTATAGTGTGTATACCGGGTACCTGGACATTTTTACGTATGAAAAATGCACTGCGTGCACCACTGGTTATTTAAGACTTCGGGGCCTTTTCTCTTAAAAACCACCCGGTTAATAATGTTGCGCATGTGTGCGATAATGCACTCCGACTTGGTTATCCGTCCGCACGCACCCGCATATTATGTAGGTATACGGTGTCACTATATAGGTTTACAGCCGGGCTCGTATGGATAATGGATTATGATGGGCACGATATTAATCAGACGCGTATTATTATAACACCTCGCGGCCTGTACGCGCAGACTGATCAATCATTCGGTCGTACGCGACGCCGTCAACAGGGTGGTCCGCACGTACCTGTAATAACAAATTGTTATTAAC